CGCCAGGGCACCCAGCGGCAGCATCTCATGCAGCTCCCACCTCTCGGGGCGCCCTGGACCCCCGGCCGCCCCGCCTTCCCCATCACTCACTCCGTCCAGCAGATGACAGGTAAGGCCACGCTTCTCGCCTCCCTTGGCAGAGTGGAAGGGGTTTGGGATGGAGCATCAAAGCCTGAGTTTCAATCTCTCCCGACTCCCTGGACCTTTGTGCCCCCCCTACATACACACCCCAAGTGCGGGGTTGTGGGGGGAGGAGGCTGGAGATCCCACAGGTACCCAGCTCCACGGAGCTCCCGTGTGTTCTCTGAGTTCAGGAGCCGTGCTTTGTGGTTGTTTCCTGTTTTTGTCCTCTTGTCTCCTCTCCTGCTCTGTACAGGCGACAGATTTAGAGCCGCGGGGCCCATGCAGGTGTGCCCTGGGCCATCTGAGCCGGGCTGGGGCGTGGGAAGGGACAGTCCCCAACTTCTGGGGCTTGCATCTGGGGTTGATGACGAATCCTAGTGCATCCCCCCTCCTCAGTGAGAGGGGACTTCCTCCCATTCCCACGGAGCCGCCTCTTTTGTCTAGGCATGTGGGAATTTGTCTCTTCTCCTGGCATCCTTTTCGTAACATGTAATGTGTGGCACATAACGTAACATAGGTAGCACACATTTATGTTCAGCAGGGTAGTATGGACAGGCCTGAACCCAACACTCAACACAGGGATGACATGTTCCTAAATCTTGCATCTCTACCTGTGCGTTCCTCGCCTCCCACCCAGAGGTAGCCACCTTCCCGATTCTCTTAGTGCTTTATCACATATGCATGCCTATTCTACTTTGTTTCATACTTCTTGGCAGTCATTTTTAATTATGGTAAAATTCACGTAACACAAAATGTGTACCGTCTTAACCATTTTTTTAATTTTTTTTTGGTGTGCTTCCATAGTTTGGTGTTATCCATAGTTGAAACATGTACAGTAAAATATCTCACTATGCTGGTGGTTTGATCTCTGTAGTTTTTTCAAGAGAGATGCTGACCCATTTAGAACTATTAGGACTTTCCGGTGAATTGATCCTTTAATTTAGGCAGCCATTTTATCTCCAATCAATATCTTTATCCTAAAAGTCCTCTTTGTCTGATAGCAATAGTTGGTTGTGGTGAGCACATGCATGTTTTTTTGCAACTAACCTCGAGTCTTCTCATACAAAATGGAAACTTGGCCCATCAAACAACTCACCAGGCACCAGCAACCACCATCCTGCTTTCTTTTTCTGTGAATTTGTAATGTCTTCTTTTCAAAAAATATATTTTTATTGATTTGAGAGAGGAAGGAAGAGGGAGAGAAAGATAGGAACATCAATGATGAGAGAGAATCATCGATTGGGTGCCTTCTGCACATCCCACCCGAGGGAGCGAACCCCCAGCCGGGCATGTGCCCTGACCAGGACTCAGGCCAGACCTCCTGATTCATAGGCTGACGCTCAACCACTGAGCATGCCGCTGAGCTGGATCGGCTTCTTTTTCATCTGGCTCCTGTTTTCATTCCTACGAATGTTTACTTGTGCCTTCTTTTGTTTTAAATAGATATGCCCATTCTGTTTATTTTCTCAAGAACTGATTTTGGCATTATCCATCCTGTCTAAAATTTGTTGTCTAGTTTATTGATTTCTGTTCATTATTCTCTTTAAGTTTACTTTTGGGTTTACTTTGTTTTTTATTTTTATTTTTCTAACTTTTTGACTACTTACATTGGATGCTTATTTCAGACTATTTTCTAGTACAAGCATTAAAATTTATACAAGCTAAATAAGGATAAAAATAAATAAATAAATAAATAAAATTTATACAAGCGAGGTATAAATTTTCCTCTAAGTACCATGTTTGATGCATCCCATAAATTTTTATATATGTTTTTTCATTACTATTCAATGTTAAATCTTTTAAAATGTGTTATTACCCTTTTTTTTTTTTTTTCTTTGACCCATGGGTTATTTAGGGCATGTTTTTACATTACCAAAGATATGGAATTTTAAAACCAACCTTTTAAAAAATTTGAATTCTCTGATTTATGGGTACCTAGCAAGCTTTCAAATTGTGTTTCAGCTCTTCTATTCATTTACTGATTTTTTTATCTGCTTCATTATTCATAGTTGAAAGAAGTGTATTAAAGTCTCTTGCTTCGATGGGGGTTTTATCTCTTTGTTGTTCTTTGAAGCTAGATGCTTACAGGTCTAGATGCTTTCAGGTCAAACTTCCTGGTGAACTGACCTTTTCGTTTAGGCACTTAGCCTGTTCCTAGTAAGTATTTTTATCATCAGAGTCCTCTGTGTCTGATATCAGGGGAGCTTTCCTGGCCTTCGCCTGGTTACTGTTTGCCTGGTTACCGTTTGTCTTTTTCCTTCCTTTGACTTTCCACCATTCCATACTCCTGTGTCAAGATCCAGGTCACGCCCATTTGCTAGTCACATAGAAAATTGTGATTTCTAAGGGAACCAGCCTGAATCACATTAAAAACCTGAGGATTTGGCCCTGACGGGTTTGGCTCAGTAGATAGAGCATCAGCCTGCAGACTGAAGAGTCCCAGGTTCTATTCCAGTGAAGGGCATGTACCTTGGTTGAGGACACATCCCCAATGAGAGGTGTGCAGGAGGCAGCTGATCAATGTTTCTAACTCTCTCTCACCTCCCTCTCTGTAAAAAAAAAAAAAAAAAAAAAAAAAAAAAAAATTATATATATATATATATAAATTATATATATATATATATATATATATATATATAAAGATAATTTTAAAAAATCTGAGGATTTATAAAGATCATGGAACCCTGGTTGTCCCAGTTTATAGCCCAGCTGTAGCCTGGGGGGCAGCAGCAGGAGAAAGATGTGCTAAGTGGGCCCTCCAGAAGGTGGTTTGGGTTGTTTGTTAAGACTGTCTCTCATTCGTTTGCTAATCCACCCATCCATGCAGCTACTGACTGAACGGTTATTAAGACCTACTGTGTGCCAGGCAGTGTCACTTCCTGGCGGCTATAGCTCCTGCCCTCATAGATGGAAAGGCCAGTGGGGAGGGAGGGGAGACTGATCTGTGAGCTCTCAGGAGGCAGTACGCCTGTCTAACAAAGCTTGCCCCAGCTATGACTCAGTTTCCCCTTCTGTAAGATGGGGACAGTAACAGGACCTGCCTGGTAGAGTTGGGGGATTCATTAGTTAATATTTGCAGAGTGCTTGTGACCAGCAGTCAGTAACTGTTCACTCTATTGTGTTACTGGTGTGATTGCTTCTGTAGTGACTGTTATTATTATACAGAGCCCCACCACAGCAAGGCCCACTGTCTGGTCTGCTGGGGCGGCCCCTCAGCCTCTCGCTTGGGTTGGAGGAGTGTTTCCTGCAGCCTCACCGTGGGCTGGCGTCCAGTCCCACTCTCTTCTCCATCTTCTCTGTGTCGTTCCGAGGCCCGGCGAGCGGCCTGTCTCGGGCTTCCCTGGTCCCTGCTGACGCGGGCTGCCCTCCGCAGCCACACACTGTAGTAGCGGCAGCCGAAGAGAAAGGCATGGCCTCTCCCCGCCCTCCAACCCAGGAGCGAGGTGTGGCCTGAGCCCTGAAAATGCTGGGCCATCCCTTTGGCAAGGCCCCATCTGCGGGGGGAGATGGGGGGAGAGGGGGGCACGGCTGAGAAAGCAAGGAAGCTTGCTGCTTGTCCCCCGGGCCTCCTGGCCACAACTGGAGCCATAGAAGCCTCCTGGCAAGACCCTCCCCACCATCGGAACCCCCCTCACTGCTCACTGCTCACTGCGTCCGAGGGTCCCGCAACAGGTGACAAAGCTCCAGGAAACACACTGCAGCCTGTCAGACCCTAACCCCAGACCTCCGCTCCCCACCTGTTCGGGGAGGGGAGACCCCACAAGTCAGGTCCGGAAATGGAGGCTGAGGGTTTGGGCTACGGTCAGACTGATCCCATAACCTCCGTCTGTGCCTGGGCTGCGAGGCTGGGAGATTTCCTGAGGCTGTGGCCTCAGACCGTCCCGTAGGGGCTGAGCAGGGACAGGTCGGGGCTGAGAGCCATGCGTGTCTGAAGGTTTACGTGGATCTGTGCTGGGCTGTTAGCTGGAGTGCCTCCAAGTGTAAGGTGACCAGACGTTCCGCTTTTGGCGGGACAGTCCCAATTTTTAATAATTTGTCCCACGTCCCATGGCGTTTTAAAAAAGTCTCGATTAGCCAAAACCAGTTTGGCTCAGTGGTAGAGCATCGGTCTGCGGACTGAAAGGTCCCGGGTTTGATTCCGGTCAGGGGCATGTACCTTGGTTGCGGGCACATCCCTGGAAGGGGGTGTGCAAGAGGCAGCTAGTCGATGTTTCTCTCTTATCGACGTTTCAACTGGCTCTCTATCTCTCTCCCTTCTTCTCTATAAAAAAAATCAATAAAATATATATATATATTTTTTTTAAAAAAAGTCCCGATTTTTGGAAAGAATCCTGAGGGACGCGGGACAAATTGTTAAAAATTGGACTTTCCCGCCAATAGCGGGACATCTGGTCACCTTATCCAAGTCCCACCCACTTTCCCTAGAAAAGCCCCGCTCTGTCTGCCTTGCGAGGGTGACCCTGTTCTGGACAGGCCCTGACTTAGGGCATTTTCTTCCCAGAGGGGACCCCAGCAGTGTGTCCTCTGAGATTTGGGGTTCCCTCATCTGGGATGTGTGGTCATCACTGTCTTCTGTGCCCACACAGCGCACCAGAATCCTGTGTGCACACACAGCACTCACACATGTGTGTGCAGGCATGTCACTCACACGCCTGTGCCTCTGCCAGAGCACACCCAAGGGTCAAGCGGTGGCCGCTTAGCGGCAGCCCCCCCTCCTCGCCAGACTCCTGCAGGCGTCCACGTGGCTTCCAAGAACTGCCCAGAGAATGAGAGGAAATGCAGTCACCGGCCCACAAAAGGCCCCGGCCCCCCCTCCCTGACCCCACGCTCTGTCTCCGCAGGCCCCCTCGGCCGCCGGCCCGCGGACGCCGCCTGAGATGGCCCCTCTCTGCCGCTGGGGCCTGCCCGCCGCGCTCCTGGCTCTGCTCCTCTGCCCAGGTGAGCCGGGCGGGGTCCCGGAGGGCGGCCGCCTGCCCCCCCCCCCCGCCCCCGGCGTTCGGGGCGGGTGCGAGCCCTGGCGTCTCCGAGGCTTCGGCACAGCGCCCCCGCCGTGGCCGCAGGGTGCGATGGAAACCCAGCTTCCCTGTGCCTGGGCGCAGGCGAGGCTCCTGGCCTGCTGGACACCAGGTTGCATGGCCCCGCAGCCTCACGGCCTGTGGGTGTGGCAGGTCGTGGAGACTACATGGTGGGCGGGGTGGGGGCCTCAGGAGGGGAAGGATGCTGGGGTTCAAGGGAAGGTGAAGGCATGCCCTCGCCGGTCTTCAGATGCGGCCCTGGGCACAGGAGAGGGGGCAGAGGGCCTCACCCTCTGGCTCTCCCCAGAGCGAAAGTGAAACGGCTCTCAGCGGGTCCAGAGGATGGTGAGGGGAACATACCACCGGGTGCCACGCAACCTGCCAGGTGCTTTTATTTTATTTATTTTTTTTTTAAACTTCAATCTATTTTTTTTATTATATCTTTATTCTCTTTTTCATTCTTTTTAAAAAAATATATTTTATTGATTTTTTTTTTTTTTTTTTTACAGAGAGGAAGAGAGAGCGATAGAGAGTTAGAAACATCAATGAGAGAGAATCATCAATCAGCTGCCTCTTGCACACCCCCTACTGGGGATGTGCCCGCAACCAAGGTACATGTCCTTGACCGGAATCGAACCCGGGACCTTTCAGTCCGCGGGCCGATGCTCTGTCCACGGAGCCAAACCGGTTTCGGCATGCCAGATGCTTTTCAAGGGCTGTCTCACTGAATCGTCACGTCCACTTTGGGAAAGGAATGACTGGCCCATTTCACAGATGAAGAAACTGAGGCTCAGAGAGAGCAAGCACCTTGCCTTAAGGTCACGTAGCTGGCATGTGGTGAACTCAGGATCCAAGCCCAGCTCTGTGTACCTGCAAAGCCCGCCTCTTGCCACGTCATTGTATTCTACCATCTGGGGGCTGGCGTGGGGGCACGGCGCTGGCGCAGGCTGGGCCCCGCTGGTGGGGATGGAGGACCTTCCTGGTCATTGCTGAGAGAGAGGGGAGTGCGGAGGGCTCAGTCTCCAAGTCCGTCACACACAGGACACAGTGGGGAACGGGGCCCTGCCTTCTAGGCCCTCCGACATGGCGGAGGGAGAGTCCGGACGAATGTGAATCACTGGGACCTTCCGGGGCCATGGGCGAGGGGCCCCGCTTCCATTCTGACCGCCGCTTCCCCGCATTCTTCCGCGCTGAGCCAGAGCATCCTGGCACCTCGCGGTTCCTCCCGCAGACACAGCACACCCGCCCCCGGCCCAGGGCCTCCCTGGGATTCTCCCCCAGATGTCTGCAGGGCTCGCCCCCGCCTCCCTCGTGTCTTTGCTCAAATGTTATTTCAGTGAGGCCTGTGCTAAAGTGCCCCTCCCCCTCCCAGTACACACACCCCCGTTTCCTTTCCCAGGCACTTACCACCGTCCAGTGGGCTGGATGTCTGTTCATTGTTATCTGTTTTCTTTTCTTTTTTTAAAAATATATTTTATTGATTTTTTTACAGAGAGGAAGAGAGAGGGATAGAGAGTTAGAAACATCGATGAGAGAGAATCATCCATCAGCTGCCTCTTGCACACTCCCTACTGGAGATGTGCCCTCAACCAAGGTACATGCCCTTGACTGGAATCAAACCCGGAACCTTTCAGTCCGCAGGCCGACGCTCTATCCATTGAGCCAAACAGGTTTCGGCTATTGTTATCCGTTCTCTTCACTTAGGATGGGAGCCCTGCAGAGGCAGGGTGTGGTCTGCGTTGTGCGCAGAGCCTAGGAAAGTACTTGGCACACAGCAGGTGTTCAAAGAGTATTTGAGGGAGAAAGGAGAGGAGGAGGGATGGGCTGAACCTGGGCCACAGCACACCTCCCTCTCAGAGAGGCGGGCGGAGGCATGCAGGAGGGGGGGCACCTCAGGGCTGGGCCTTGAAGGTTGGCTGGGTTCCCCCTCCGTGGGGGGAGAGGGGCATGAGGAAGACTTATCTGTCCGGCGGTGACAGGCTGCAGGAGGGGCAGCCAGAGGCAGGGAGACAGCCCCCGAGGCCTGAACAAGGGTCAGGGGTCTAGGAGCAGAGGGACCATCCCTGGCCTTCCTGCTCTGGCCCCGCCCCCTCGATCAGACGGGGCCGCTCGCTGGGCGGGACGGCGGGGACATCTGCTGCCCAGAGTCTCCGGTCTTCCAGGGGCTGGGGTGGCGGCGTTCGACGTATACGCGTCGCCGGAGCAGCTGGTGGTGAGGCACGGGGCGTCCTCGGAGATCAACTGCAGCACCAGCTGCCTGCAGCCGACCATCGGCGGCTTGGAGACCACCATGAGCAAGGTCCTGCTGGACAAGCAGCCTCAGTGGGAGCGGTACAGGGTCTCCAACTTCTCCACGGACACGATCGTCTACTGCCACTTCACCTGCTCCGGGAAGCAGATGCTTAGGAACATCAGCGTCACCGTGTTCCGTGAGTGCCTCTCGCAGGGCCCTCCGCCCCCGGCCAGAGCCGTCCTGAGTGCTCTGCCCCCACTAACCCCCCCACCCCCACCCCGGGCTCCTGGGCTGACAAGGAGCAGTGCCAAGCCGTCTGCTCCCACCCTCTGGCCTCCCTGGGCCGCTGGCAGCCCCGCCTCGAGGCCTGCTCAGAAGAGGGCCGTCACAGGGCTCAGCCTCCTCCCAGCGCAGCAGCAGCCCGGTCTGTCTGTCTGTCTGTCCGTGGAACACCCCAAGCCCCCTGACAAGCGGTGAAGGCACCAGCAGGAGGGCTGCACGCTCTCCAGGGGCGGGGGAGGAGTCCCCGCGTGCTTTTCTCCTCCCCTCGGCGAATGTGGGCCCCTCACACACGCACGCCTGCCCCTGGCCATGGAGGCCAGGATGGGCCGGGTTCTCCCACCATCGCGGCCCTAAGGCTATTGCTTGGATCCTCCCTCTGGACCGAAGAAAGGGCGCCCTAGATCCAGCACACTGTCCCGGGGTGATGGAGGTCTGGCTCGGAGGGAACCGCAGGTCTGAGAGGGGGTGGAGGTGGCTGTGAACTGACCCTGGATAACGAAGGCAGGTCTGACGTTGGCCCCGCCTCTTAAGTGAGAACTCACAGTCCGTGCCCAGTCCCAGCAGGCACTCCCTTCTACGTCTCTCTGAACGCAATCACTCAACTGTTTAATTTTTAAAGTTCTGGAGAGGAAGGGGACAGATGCAAACACTTATATCTTTCTCATTGGCTGCACAGTTTCTTTCTCTCTCTCTCTCTCTCTCTCTCTCTCTCTTTAATATGTTTTATTGATTTTTTTACAGAGAGGAAGAGAGAGGGATAGAGAGTTAGAAACATCAGTGAGAGATAATCATTGATCAGCTGCCTCTTGCACACCCCCTACTGGGGATGTGCCCGCAACCAAGGTCCATGCCCTTGACCGGAATCGAACCTGGGATCTTTCAGTCCGCAGGCTGACGCTCTATCCATTAAGCCAAACCGGTTTCGGCTGGCTGCACAGCTTCTGATCCTCTCTTTGGAGACAGCTAACCACCTCCATGCCTGTCCAGCGCAGACACCATCGTGTTCATAGAACTGCCACGCAGCACCCTTCACCCTGAACTGCCTCCTTCTTCCTCTCTGGACCACAAGCCCAGCCGGGGACCTGAGCACCCGGTGCCCATAGGGGTGCTCTTGGCTGGGTGGGCCTGCTGGGACTGCGCCCCAACCTCCCCATTCCTCCCCCGTAGACCCCCCGGAGCAAGTGCTGCTGAAGCTGCAGCCCACGTGGGTGACGGTGGGCAGAGCCTTCACCATGGAGTGCCGGGTGCCTGCCGTGGCCCCCCTTGAGGACCTCACCCTCACCCTGCTGCGTGGCCAGGAGCCCCTGCACACAAAGACCTTTGGGGGGGCCACGGCCGCCCCACAGGAAGCCAGCGTCACCCACAACAGCACGGCTCACAAGGACGACGGTCGCCACAACTTCTCCTGCCGGGCGGAGCTGGACCTGCGGCCTCGCGGTGGGGTCATCATCCGGAGAACCTCGGAGCCCCAGGCGCTGGAGATCCACGGTGAGGGGGGCCCCGCCTGCCCGGGGAGGGCGGGGGCGGGGGGTGGGGAAGGGCAGTGCATCCACGGCAGACCCTTTGGGAAGTCAGAACCTTAGCCCACTCTCTGCCAGCTCCCAGGGTAGGCACGGGGGGCCCCACCCCCGATCCTGAGGGCTTCCTCTACTGCTCCCTCCTCCCTGACGCTCTCGCCAAGCCCCAGCGTGGACCTGCACCAGGTGCTTGGCCATCAGTGAGCTGTGTGACCTTGGCCAAGTCAACTTCCTCTCTACCATGAAAAGTTTGACCCAACTGACCCCTCTGGTCTTCTAGAACACCACTGTTCTTTGGTTCTTTTTGTTTCGATTAGTCCTCACCTGAGAATACTTTCCAATGATTTTAGAAAGAGCGGAAGGGGGGGGGGGAGGGAAGAGAGAGAGAAACATTGACGCAAGAGACACACATTTATTGGTTGCCTCCCGTGCGCACACACGCCCCCACACACACCCGACTGGGAATCAAACCCACAACCCTCAGTGCTCATCCACCCCGGCCGGCGGTTCTGTGACTCTGGGTGGCAGGTGTTCCCTGTCTTCAGAGCATTGGGAGAAACTCACTCGGCTCTGCCCAGGGAGGGGTTGGCGCGCACTGTCCAGACCATGGTGTCCAGAGGCCTCATGCTGTCCTTACAGCCTCCCCGGGCCTGGCTGGCCGCCTGGACCCCAGCTCACCTTTCCCCTAGTCAGTACCCCATTTGTCACTCATCCCGGTGACACGCGGTGGCTGCAGGATGGAGGGGGGTGGGTCTCACTCCCTAGGACCAGAGCACTTCTTTTTATTTTAAATCTTTATTGTTGAAAGTATTACCTGGGTCTCCTTTCCCCCCATGGACCCTCCTCAGCCCCCTCTGCAGCCGTGGGTTATGCATATGTGCACACAAGGCCCGAGGCCTTCTCAGACCACTGCCCCTCCCCCCGCCCCTAGAGCCGATGCCGGACAACCAGATGGTCATCATCATCGCGGTGGTGTCGGTGCTGCTGCTCCTGTTTGTGGCGTCCGTCCTGCTGTGCTTTGTCTTCGGCCAGCAGTGGCACCAGCGGCGGAGAGGCAATTACGGGGTGCAGGCAGCCTGGCGGAGACTGAGGCGCTCCTTCCGGGCGTAGCCTGCCTGCGGGGCGTGGCCCTGCCACGGCAGCCACCGGACTCAGCGTGGCCCTCAGGGATGTGGCCCGTGGCCCGGCCACGGCGGAGGGACAGTGACCAGCAGCCGAGGACCATGGGGACATTTCCTTTTCAAGTCTGAATACAAACACCTGGACTTAACCCTGTGCCTTGGGTCCCTCCTGGGAGAGGACTCAACGGCCGGGAAGGTGACTGACTCCTTGGGTCTACACTTCTCTCCCCAGACGCCTCCTCAGGGTCCCTCCACCCTCTGCTTCACAGCAGCCTCGGGCCAGCCAGTGCTGACCAGCCTAGGCACTCACGGGGCCCAGTGCCATGGGTACCCTGGCCTGGCAGGACAGACTCTGTTCCCTCACGGCCCTCGGGAACGCGGGCCACTCCCTGTCGGAGCAGGACATGGCCAGCAGAGTCAGCTTCCTGGGGTGCGGTGGAGGGTGGGGACCCCAAGGGATCTGGCCCGGCTCCAGGACCCTCCCAAGCAGGCCTCTTCCGCCTCTCGGCCTGACAGAGCTGTGGACAGCAGAATCGGTCTTCTCTCGCCTCCTGCTCCATCATTAGGCCCCGCTGAGACTCCGCAGCCCTGGCCTTCCCAGAGAGGGGTGCGGGACGGAGGCCGGGGGGCTCTGGTTCCCAGCCTCCCCCTTGTCCGGGAAGCAAACAGTGGGGCAGAGTTACGGGTGTTTGTGTGGGTCCCGGGCCTTGAACAGTGAATAACCTAATGCAATTATTCCAGACAAGAGGTCGGCTGGTTCCGGGTCTTAATGGGAAGGAGAGGGGACTGATTCACCCTGGAGGGAGGGCCTGCTCGGGGTTGAGGCAGAGAAGGGCTGTGGGGTGTGGCTTCGAGCACCAGAGGGGCCCTCGGGGGGCCGTATCTAGCCTCGCAGTGCAGCTGGTGTGGGTCCCTGGGCCAGCGTCTGCCTTCACAGTAAGCTCTCAGCATCGTAGTAATCTGGGCGGGGGGGGGGGGGGGGGGGGGGCGGGCAGAGCACTCATCTTGACTCCCTCCTGACTCAGGGGACCCCAAGGAGGGAGAAGGAAGGGGACAGGCCAGTGGCCTGCAGCAGTGACAGCACCCCCGCCCTCAGAGGAGCACGACCCTCCCGATCCATCCCCAGGCCTGGACCCTCCTGCCCACACACCCTGCCCCTACCTGAAGCCGGGGGTACATCCACACCCACAGTCCCCGTGGCGCTGGGGGGTGGAGGTGGGGGCACGGCTCTCCTGGGATGGGGGTGAGAAAAGAAACGCCCCCATCAGAAGTGTCCTCTGCGGTTAGACCCACAATGATCACCCCCCTCCCCTCCAGCCCGCACCCCCAGCCCCAAGACAGCGCAGTGCCCAGCCCTCCGCCTCACTTACACCCCCCTTCTCCTGGCCGGGGGGCGCGGCGGGGTCCTGGGAGCCTCCTGCAGGGGGGGCTGTGGGGGAGGGGGGGGGAAAGGCGCCGGCCAGAGCGGCAGGAGGCCCAGCGCGGGCGGCGGGCCGGGCAGGTAGTGGTGGTGGAACACCACAGGCCCTTCCTCCTGGGCCTCCGGCTCCTCGTCCTCCTCACTCTCCTCCACGGGGACCTGGGGCTGTGGAGAGGGGAGGGGAGGTGGTGACACGGGTCAGGCTCTCCCCGCCCCACTCCTCTGCCTCTGAATTATCTTTCCAGACACGCAGCGCAGCGTCAAATGGTTGTTGATGTCTGCTCCCTGCAAGCAGGCACTCGGGGGGCATTTTGCAGGCGGGAAGCCTGAGGCTCGAAGTGCTTGAGCCTGGGCTAAGGTCACCCAGCTAACAAGAGGCGAGCGGGGACCGGGGAATCCAGGTTTGGCTCGGGAGCGGGGGTGAGGGCCCAGGCCCTGGAGCCGCTCCTCCCTGGGCCGCTGAGGGCTCTGCCCGCCGGGGTGGCCACACCCTCCCCTCCAGCCATCAGCCCCATGTGGCTGCCCAAGGCTGGTTCCTAGGCCTCCTGCCCCTCCCCTCAGCCTTTCTTCATGCCCCAGCCCGGCGGGCACGCAGGCAGGGCACCCTCCTGCGCCGGCACAGCCACAGTTACCTGGTGTTTGTGGTCATTCATTTAGTCACTGGCTTCCCAGCAAACATCAGCCCCTAAGTGCCAGGCGCCTGCAGCCCAGGGGGTCACACAGCAGGGACACCTCCTTGAAAGCAAGGCCTGTGGGGTCTGGATAAGGGACCCCCACCCCCACCCCACGGAGACTGGCACAGACCCAGCCAGATAGGGCGGGCTGACTTCCTGCCGCTTTCACCTGGTCCTCTCTCTCAGGGGATCCCCCAGGTGGATCCCACCCCCGGACCTGCAGGTGGGCACCCCGGGGTGGGGGAGAGCCCCCCCCATCATCGCACCTGGGGGCCGGAGAGGGCCGGCCAGGGGTTGAGCGCTGCTGCCGCCAGGCGACCCAGGACCAGCTGGTGCATCTGCGCGTTCTGCAGCAGCAGCAGCTCCATCAGGTCTGGGGGGCCAAGGTCCAGCAGGCTCAGCCCCCAGCCTCTGCCCCCCCAGCCCTCTGCCCCCCCAGCCTCTGCCCCCCCAGCCCTCTGCCCCCCCAGCCTCTGCCCCCCCAGCCCTCTGCCCCCCCAGCCTCTGCCCCCCCAGCCTCTGCCCCCCCAGTCCTCTGCCCCCCCAGCCTCTGCCCCCCCAGCCCTCTGCCCCCCCAGCCCTCTGCCCCCCCAGCCTCTGCCCCCCCAGCCCTCTGCCCCCCCAGCCTCTGCCCCCCCAGCCCTCTGCCCCCCCAGCCTCTGCCCCCCCAGCCTCTGCCCCCCCAGTCCTCTGCCCCCCCAGCCTCTGCCCCCCCAGCCCTCTGCCCCCCCAGCCCTCTGCCCCCCCAGCCTCTGCCCCCCCAGCCTCTGCCCCCCCAGCCCTCTGCCCCCACCCAGCCTCTGCCCCCCCAGCCTCTGCCCCCCCAGCCTCTGCCCCCCCAGCCCTCTGCCCCCCCAGCCTCTGCCCCCCCAGCCTCTGCCCCCCCAGCCCTCTGCCCCCCCAGCCCTCTGCCCCCACCCAGCCTCTGCCCCCCCAGCCTCTGCCCCCCCAGCCTCTGCCCCCCCAGCCCTCTGCCCCCCCAGCCTCTGCCCCCCCAGCCCTCTGCCCCCCCAGCCTCTGCCCCCCCAGCCCTCTGCCCCCCCAGCCCTCTGCCCCCCCAGCCCTCTGCCCCCCCAGCCTCTGCCCCCCCAGCCTCTGCCCCCCCAGCCCTCTGCCCCCCCAGCCCTCTGCCCCCACCCAGCCTCTGCCCCCCCAGCCTCTGCCCCCCCAGCCTCTGCCCCCCCAGCCCTCTGCCCCCCCAGCCTCTGCCCCCACCCAGCCCTCTGCCCCCCCAGCCTCTGCCCCCACCCCAGCCTCTGCCCCCCCAGCCCTCTGCCCCCCCAGCCCTCTGCCCCCCCAGCCCTCTGCCCCCCCAGTCCTCTGCCCCCCCAGCCCTCTGCCCCCCCAGTCCTCTGCCCCCCCAGCCTCTGCCCCCCCAGCCCTCTGCCCCCCCAGCCCTCTGCCCCCCCAGCCCTCTGCCCCCCCAGTCCTCTGCCCCCACCCCAGCCTCTGTCCCACCCCAGCCTCTGCCCCCCACCCCAGCCTCTGCCCCCCCAGTCCTCTGCCCCCCCAGCCCTCTGCCCCCACCCCAGCCTCTGTCCCACCCCAGCCTCTGCCCCCCACCCCAGCCTCTGCCCCCACCCAGTCCTCTGCCCCCACCCCAGCCTCTGCCCCCCCAGCCCTCTGTCCCCACCCCAGCCTCTGCCCCCACCCCAGCCTCTGTCCCACCCCAGCCTCTGCCCCCCACCCCAGCCTCTGCCCCCACCCAGTCCTCTGCCCCCACCCCAGCCTCTGCCCCCCCAGTCCTCTGCCCCCACCCCAGCCTCTGCCCCCCCAGCCCTCTGTCCCCACCCCAGCCTCTGCCCCCACCCCAGCCTCTGCCCCCACCCCAGCCTCTGCCCCCCCAGCCCCCCCCCTCGACACCCTGGGGCGCAGAAGGGGTGGTGATGCAGCCCCAACGCCCAGACCGGTGCGGGAGAGGGAGGTGCGGGAGAGGGAGGTACAGGGGAGCCGGAGTCTCACCCTCCTTCACGCGTCCTGGCTGCGGGGGTGGCGGTGGCGGTGGGGCGGCCCACGGGAGGGGCTGCAGGACCATCACCCAGGGCTGGGGAACGGGGGACTCAGCCAGGCCAAGCGGAGGAGGGATTAGGGGTCCAACCCCTCGCCCCGCCATGCATACACCCCCTCCCCCCCCATCGCTGGCCCCCTAACCCCGCAGGGGCTCCAACTCCCCTCGGCGCCCCCTCGGCCTCCCCGCTCCTGCCAAGTCTCTTCCCCTCCAGCTGGGGTCGCTCTCCTCTCTCATCCCCCACCCTCACCCCCTCCACGGTTCGGACCCTCCCCGCCCACCCGGAGGCCCTCCCCAGCTCTGCCAGGGCCCCAGGCTCCGGCCCAGGCAGTCTGCCCGGCTCAGCCTCACCACGGGGGCCGCACTCGGCGGTGGGGGGCGCCCTCCAGCCCCAGAGGCCATGGCCGCGGCCTTAGGGCAGGGTTCCCTTGGCGACGGGACGCCAAGCCTCCTCCCGGCAGAGCGGTCCCGCCCCGCCCGCTCCGGCGCCTGGGCCGTTGGCTAAGTCGTCACCTTCAGCTCTCCGTCCTCCACCTCCAAGGGCCTGGGGCCTTACCCCCACCAGAGGCCCCCCGCACCGGGCGGGCCTGGGTCTCGTGTCTTATTCCTCCCGCAACTCCAGACCCTTACGCACCCCCTCCCGCCAGCCCCTCACCTGGGGCTCATGTTTGGTGAGTGAATGAGCGGCCTGAGAGGCCGGCTCTAACGCAAGACACTTTGTTTTCCGGTCCCAAAGCTCCATTGCCTTAGAGTCATGATGAGTTAGTTCATCAGGAATAGAGACTTCTGTAGGATCAGGCGGGAGAGGGGCGGGGAGGGAGGTGGGCAGAGGATCTGCTGTCTGTCGCTCAGAGGGGCATTCTGGAGCAGAGCATGGAAGGAAGCACCAACCAAGTTCACGGAAAGGCTGGCCCCTGACCCACCCCCACTCCCACCCCCTTCCCCTTCCCCTTTGTAGCTGTCTGCTCCCTGCTCCTTGGCCAGGGCGGAGAAGCTGGGAGTTGAGCAGCAGAACCCATTATTGTCCCCCATCCTGGAAAACTTGCCAAAGCGTGCGTTCTTTGACAGGAAGTTACCAAGGTCTTTTTTGCTCAAGAACAGGTGAGCGGGGAGATCTATTTCGGTAGCTGTGAACTTCGTACGATAGGCCCTGAGCAGCAGTGAAGGAAAATCAGGACAGGAAGCTGGGATTAGCACCCCGTGGTTCGCCCTGCCCCCACCCCCACGTCTGTTCAGCAGCCCTTCCCGGCAATCCTGGCCCCGGCGTCTAAAATCAGAATGACCGGTTCCACCTCCTCCTTCGTGCCTCTGTCCCTGTCTCCAGGGGAGGGAGCAGGGGTTGTCTGTGGACAGCACATTCGCTGCCCTTGTGGGTCTAACGGCTTCAACAGCCACCAACAAACAGGATGGGGCCCGGTGGTCACAGGCCCGGTGAGTGGGAGGACACCTTTCCCTCTCCAGCCTCTTCCAGGGAGAAAAACACGTCAGTCCTTGAGCTCACCATCAGCTGCCTCCACCCAGGAGGTGCCTGTGTGTGCCAGGCGCCTTCTGAACACGGGACACGGTAGTGTGGCCTCCTGGGTCCAGCGGAGTTGGGAGTGGAGACCTGCCATGAAAAGAGAGCCAAGATACAAGACTGTGCACAGTCACCCGTGCATCCTGAAGGGGGAGGACTCATCACTGAGGGGGGTGGGGCCAAGTAGTGTAGGTGGAGAGGGCACCCAGGCTGGGGACACGGCCAGCAAAGGTGCAGGTGCAGGAGTGGGCAGGGCCTGTGGTAACCCAGTGAGTCCAACTGCCTGGCTGAGCCGGAGGAGCTGGGCAACAGGAGGTCCCAGCAGCCCAGGCAGAGACAGGCCAGGCTCCAAGGCCTGGTGATGGAATTTAGGGTTCACCGTGTGGGTAATGGAGAGCTCTAGGTGGGATGTGAGCACGAGAGGCGATGTGCACACAGCCAGGTTTTAGGAAGATGCATGTGGTCCCTCACATCTTTGCTTAATGTCAACCAGGATTAGAGGGAACAAATGTCTGGTGGGGTGTCTTCCCAGTGGGATACAGCTCGGTCAGTGGCAATGTTGGGGCAGAACAAGCAAGTCCAACTCGCGGGCTGCATTCGGCCCACAACGAACATTTTTTTTAAAGTTTATTTTAAATATATTTTATTGATTTTTTTTTATAGAGAGGAAGGGAGAGGGATAGAGAGTTAGAGACATTGATCAATTGCCTCCTGCACACCCCCCACTGGGGATGTGCCCGGAACCAAGGTACATGCCCTTGACCAGAATCAAACCTGGGACCTTTCAGTCTGCAGGCCGTTGCTCTATCCACTGAGCCAAACTGGTTTCAGCCACAAGGAACATTTCTGTGGCCCAGCCAACGTAACAGTATGTAAGAAACTTTGTAATAAAAATTCCATAACTTAATTTTTACAACATCCTATTGTTCATAATTATTAATAACGAACTACAACGTTCACTAATGACTGATGACTATGATCGTGTTGCATTCATTTCCCTTATGTGCCTACGTGTAGGCGCACCATTTCTCTCCACTAATGCCAGCAGCGAATATTTTAGCAGCCGATTGCCACATCATTAGTCTTGTTACTGACTTGTTTGGTGTGTGCAACAGGAAATAATTCACTTTCAGAGAACAAGAAAAATAGGTTTATTTGCATTACGCTTATTAATCTGTGCAGTTATTCAGGGTCTGGCAAGCTCGTGTCCAAGAAAAAAAAAATTGCTTTTTATTAAAATGGTCTGTTATTTTATGTTAATGATAACTCATTTATTTCAGCCCTTTGTATTCAGCATGTCTCTACGTTTCTATGAAAATTGAAGCTGTTGTTTTTTTGCGGCCCACATAAACTTAAACCTTGTTTAGCTGGCCTGTGTTAGCCTTTGAGTTTGTCTCCAAGAATGTATCCATGGGGTGTCCCAAAGAAGTGTGTACACTTTGAATAATTTTTAATTCCAATGGTTCGTTCTTTTCAGATTTAATCCATTGGAATTAATTATTCAAAGTGGGTATACATATTGGGGGGACACCCTGTATTGATGTGGAATGATGTCCAAAAGAGTTGAGAAAACAATCAATAAGCATAGTAAGATCTTATCTCTATTTTTAAGATCAAAGGTATGTGTGTGTGCGCGTGCATGCAGAGAGAGAGAGAGAGAGAGGCAAGGAGGGAGGGAAAAGAGAGACAGAAAAGATACAGAGACAGGGAGGGAGGCAGGAAGAGAGAAGCAACTACCTAGTTGCTATTAGGTCTAGTTGCTATTAATAGTTGCTGTCAGGGCCTGACCACACCTCCCAGCCTCCCCCAGGGCCTCCTGCAATGGTCCCTGCGCTCATTTACCGGCATTTTCTGGCCCCAGCCAGGCGTCCTGAGGTTGTCCCAGGAGCAACCCTGAAGCATTAAGGGCCAGGAGTTGATGGTAAGCTCCCTGCCTCCTGGCCTCAGTTGGACGACTCTGAGGAGTCCTCCCCACACTCTCTCAGCGCTCTCCGTGGCCTTGCGCCTGTGGAGAGCAACCACAGTGTTTGGACAGGTTCAAGCCTCGGACTGATGAGAGGGCACAGTCCTCTCATTGCCACGTGCAAGTCCTAGCTTGGAGGGCAGAGCCCTCCCAGCACAATTAGAGCCAACAGCTGTAGTTGTAAGCTTGAACCTATGGTCCCAACACTTGGACCCACGTGCCTGAGTGATGTGGGCTTGATAGAATTTAAGTGCATGTAACTGAGTAGGTTCGAAACCCACCAGAACTTGTAACCACGCCCTGACTTTGCCTCGTGGCCTCTGGCTGTAAAATAAAGAGACAGCTTACAGGCCGTGACCCTGTCGCTAGCTCTCCATCATAGAGGCTCCCCATCAGAGAGGGCAGCGTCCCACCCAGACCCAGCTTTCTTCCCTGTCAGTCTTTTCTCCATCCTTCACCGCCCCCTCTCAGGCTCGCCAAAGCTGGCTTAGCTGGCACGGCACATAAGGCGCCCGACGCTGAGTGTGCCATGGCCGTGCCAGCTCGCCACAGCGCTCCAGTTGTCTCAGTGACAGCCTATTGGTTTTCTCCTCTTTCCGTCACTTCTCCACTCCCTCACAGTGCCTCCTGAGACTTCCTCCCACACAGATTGCATGCTCCCAAATCCTGGCCTTTGGGGGGATCCAAACGAAGCCACCAGTCTCCCGCTCTCTCCCTGTCTGCCCCCAGGCTACTGAGAACGCCAGGCCAAAGCTATTCTAGAAGCTCTTAGGATAAAGGTGTGTTTGGTGAAGTGAAACCCTGCAGTCAACATTAAAGAAAATTGATCTAGGAATATAGTGGTCACTGAATTAAGCCGAGGCAACCTACAGGCAGGGAGGCCAGCAAGGAGGCCCTCACCCTCCTCCCTCTGAAGGGAGCCCAGAGCAGGCTGGAGGTGACGGAGGGAAGCTGGCAGGAAGGGGTGACGGTTCAATACCTCGGGTAGAAGATTGCCCGTGAACCCTACACGAATCTTGTGCTTCAGAAGACAGGGCTGAATGAAAACGATCCTGCTTCTATTCAGTCAGAGTTCTCGGTCAGAGGAAGCGGAAGCATTTGCTATTTGAAGAAAGGAAAAGCTACCCACTTCTTTGCCAGAGCTATTTTATTTGTGGAAATCCAGCCTCAGCCCAACCCTGGAGCTACTGGCCCCGCCTACTATTCTTTCCTTTGAGCCGTGGGCCACTCCACCTATTTCCTTTTCAGGTTTTCTGTTTGGTTTTTTGTTTTGGCGGATTGTTTTTAGTCTCCCGAGATAACATGTACCCAAAGTCCTTGGGTAGATCTTGCCTTGGTGAGATCTATTCCTGGGACGAAGCGAAACATGGAAAAAGGTCTCTCATCAAATCTGGTCATCGCAGTTTTCTTTTTAAGAGGTGAACATCGAACGTTACCCCAGGCCTATTAATAGAGGAATGTGTATGTAAAATCCAGGGAGTTGACAGGATTGAAAAAATGAGTTCCTGCCTTTCTCCCCCAGAAAAGGAGAGAAAAGGGCCGCGCCTAAGAATTCCCCTGGGAACTTCCCTGCTTCTCTCGGTACCGGCGAGGATGCACCCAGCAGAGATGACCCAGCCGTGGGCCCTTTTCTTGGGCTCAGTCCCTCAAGAGGCACAAACTGGAAGGCAATAGACCAGTGGTCGGCAAACTCATCAGTCAACAGAGCCAATGTCAACAGTACGACGATTGAAATTTCTTTTGAGAGCCAAATTTTTAAAACTTAAATTTTTTCTAACGCCCCTTCTTTGAAATAGACTCGCCCAGGCCGTGGTATTTTGTGGAAGAGCCACACTCAAGGGGCTGCATGTGGCTCGCGAGCCGCAGTTTGCCGACCACAGAGCTAGACTCTGAGGGTTGGAGGAAAGGAGTTGAATGCCTGGG